TCGTGGCACTCCAATCTTCTGAGGTGCGTGGGGTCAGGCGATGGCCTTGGGCGTGCGTGTTGGGGGCATAGAGTGATTTGATCAGACCATCACTTTCTACGGGCGGGGAACTACCTGGGTTTGTGTGTAGTTGACATGTGTTCAACGTACGGAACTATATTGAGTCCTGAGTCTGGCTGAGGTTCGAGTGTCGATAAAACCTACCTTGGGTGAGGGAAGGGAGGTAACCCCTCACGTTGATGGTAAGAATGTATAGGTGTTAGTGCTGTCGATGGACACCCACTACATGGTTGTATACAGGTGCCTCGTTTTGACGGTTACACCACAGTGACGACGTAACACAGTATTGACACGGGCGCCATCACGACGCGCAAAAACCGACACGTGCGACGCACCGGCCCGTTGCGTAATACTCTGTTCGGCTCCTCTCCAGTACCAGTAGCCGGGGTGTCCGATGACCCGTAATGACCCGCCGGAGGGGAGAAGCCCTATTGGTGGGCTGGGGACGCGCCGGACCAGTCGGCGCGGCGGCTCGCGCTGCTGGGTATGGCGGACAGAACACGGGTCTGTGCGAGCTTTACTGGCAAAGGTTGTGCCATCTGGGATATGAAAGTGAAACATGAGCTTCTAAAGCAAAGTCGTGATAGAAGGGATGTTTGATCTGTCTTTTAGATGAAGGTTCATATTAAGCACTATTTTTAAGTCTTCGTAAATGTCGCGTTATGTAGGCGTACCACGATGGAAACTAGTTATGCTTGAGTGTAACTCAGCAGATGTTTAAGGTGGGATTCTGCGTTCTTTTTAAAGTACGAGGCCACGGTAATTACATTTCGTTTGATGACTGCCGAAAGTACATTGGAAGTGGCTTCTTTGGCTGGCTTCGCGACAGGAGCGCAGTTAACGTCATTGTTTTCCCGGTCGGACGATGTTTTCGGGTACGTGACCAGACTGGAAACCCTCCCGAAACTTTGATGAAATCCGCGGCGTCGTCGCCCTGCGAGGGTTTTTGTGAGGCGAGGCTCGCGCGCGGGCCGAGAAACAGTGTGTGTTGAATGTCGCCCTTGACCATCGGCCACTGGTCTGTCAGCAGTTCACAACTCCGTGAAGTGCGAGCCACCGGCCGAATGGTAGTTCTGTCCAAAAATGAGCAAGCAACTGTAACTGCCAACTGGTTGGCAAATGTGCTTTCATGCAAATGAAACCTTTCAATTGTAAGGTGATTGTAGGGGAGAGTGGGGTAAGATGCCCAGGGTGGGAAAGACGTCCCACCCCCTCTAGCGGCGAAACAAAGAATCGAGCCCGGAAATTAATGTTCTTAGCGTAAAGCGGAAGCCTGCCTTGTTAACTGCACAAAAATTTGCGAAGCTCAGTTTGGCAACGGCTGAATGGTAAATGCATGTTTTTTATTTGCTGCTTTCAAAAAATATTTTGGTGTCAAAACATTGAAAATATCAAAGAAGGTAGATAATTTTTGCGTCCCTTGCTATAGTCGTGATACATTAACATGCGTGTACTCTGTCCCAAACAGTTTGTTTCAGGGTGTAGTTTTATGGCTAACAAATTGTACTGATTTAATGTTACTTCGGTACCTTGGGGTAAGATGCCCCCTGTCTTGATGGGGAAAGACGCCCCCCTAAATCCGTAGGCTGTCCTTCAAGCAGCCCGTCAAATCATTTATTATATGCTTGTGATGAGAGACAAAAGCCGATCTGGGACTATTGAGAGTCCAGTACGGTCGGGTGCTCCCCATGCCGGTCTCTCGGCCCACACAGCGACTTTTTGGGCGGCATCTGACTCTGAGAGCCCTCACGACGGCCTCTGTGGGCCCCATTATTGGCTCCAGGGTCCCTCACGACATTCTTTGAGGGCTCCCACGTTGGCTCCACGGGCCGCGCTGGCATGTGAGGTCCCCACGATGGGCTCGAGGGCCCTCAAGCATCACGAAGACCTATAAGGGCCCCAAAGTGGTCTCCGAACGCCACCACGGAGGCTTGTTTGGCCGCGCTGGACTATGATGGCCCTAACGATGACCTCTGAAGCCCCTTACGACCACTTTTGAGGGCCCTTACGAGGACGTTTGGTGTCTACTGCAGGCTCGAAGGGACTACTGATTCGTTCAGGCGATTCACGTGCCCATTTATGTCACTTATAGTGCAGGGGGCATCTTCCCCAACGCCAGGGGGCGTCTTTCCCACTCTGTGGGGTAAGATGCCCCCTTTCACTTCTTCAGGAAAATGCTTAATAGCAAAAAAAGTTATCATATTTCAGGCACGAGAGTGTGATATTTTTGGAGAAAAATGATGTCGGCTTCCGTTGAAACTCCAAGTTTTTGCTTTCCGATCGTCATTTTCGAATAATATATGACATAGTAAAACCCTGGGCATCTTTCCCCACTCTCCCCTAAGGAATTTCCCTGATCTCTGATGAACATATCATTAAATGATTGTTTAATTATTTCTCATCCCTTTACGTACCGGAGACGTAAGCTCGTGTATGCGTGATACAGAAGAAAAGACAGCAGTTCTGCCCAAAAACAGAATCATATTTTCTTTATTCTGACCCGGGCTCAAAACTTGGCCGGCATTTGAAGTAATTGACCAGCACAGATGTTATTCAGGCTCAACCACCTAAGGAGGCGAGATGCGAGCTCCAATTAGTCTTTGGTCCTCACAAAATATGGAGCTCGACTCTGAATCCAGCGGCGTAAAGTCCCCCACTTTCTCAGTATTCCGGGTGTTTCTGACAACCGTACTACTCACCAAAGGACGAGGGTCAAGGCAACGAAATGAATAGTGAGTAGGTTCTGGGACTGGAACACTCGAAACCAGGACACTCGAAACCGGCACACTCGAAAACCTGCTCTCAGCGTGACCAGTAATGAGGTGGCCGCCATATCATCGCTGTGCTACTCCTTTGAAGCCGGGCGTCGAGTGGTCGTTGATCCGGATCTGAGAGCGGCACTGGCGGCGCAGTGCGCCAGGAGTGTGCCCCTGCGGCACACCGGGCGGCAGTACCTTACCGTCGCCAGAGTGCTGGAAGTCCCCCCACGGCCTGGGGAGGATGGGGGCTCGGGTTGTTGGGTACACGATCGGCGCTGCTAAGGTCCCGGCTGGATCAGCCTGTTGATGTCTACTTGGAGCGACATCCACCAAGACTGAACTGCAGTATGGAATGGCATTTATTCAGTTTTTTTCCGTGGAACGACATTTACCCAACCTCTAGTGGCAACATTAGATTTTGAAATTGAAAGATGTGCAACTGCCGAAAAGCATTACTTTTCTCTGATGTTATGAAAAAACGGTAAAACTGGGGTTTTATACGAAGCGTTTTTTTTTCTGGTCAATAAACAGTAAATATATTTGGGAAAGTAGTGCTGTAGGGAGTCGTTTTTGAAATTATGTTACTTTTTTAGTTTCGGGCGACTCCGAGGTGAAAAACATATTAAAAACCAAATATTTCGGCTTAATTGAGTTGCCCCGTTCACTGGTTTCGAGTCGGCCGCTAAAGCAAACCAGTGATGAAAGGATAAAGGAGTGATAAAGCCGAAGCATTTTTTTATATAATTTGTTCACCTCAGTGTGGTTTGAAACTAAAAAACAGCATCAGTCATTTAACTGAGGAAGACATTAAAAATGACACTTCGTCAATTTCCTTATGAAATTCTTTCACCGTCGAATATTTTCATCGCCCCCCGTTGTTCTTTTCGGAACAGAGTTCCCCGGAGAAAAACAGTGGCAGGAATGTTATCATCCCTCCGCAGCGCTCCATTAATAACACAGCCTTCCACAGCGCAATTATCTGGCTCTCCTGCTCTGACACCAAAATACATGATGTAGTGTCAGGAACTCGACGCCGGAAGGTGTTAAATTAGTTTTAAAAAAAACGAAGCGTGATAGGCCTTTATTTGTTCATCGTCTCTGATGACGCGTTATATACGCGTTTACGCGTATAACCGGTATAACAGACGCGTTATAGACGCGTTACAGACGCGTTATAGACGCGTTTCTGATAGACGCCCATATGTTTGCTTCTTTATCTGAAGAACTGAAGTAATTGCTTGCTTCGTAAATTCGATTGCTTCTTTATGCTTCTTATCTGAAGAATTGAAGTAAATAGCAGATAGTAAACTTGTAAAGGAGACGCCACCCTGCCCTGTAAATGTGCATTCATGTGTTGTACTATATACACCTACTATTATAGTAGGTGGGCATGCATTCAGCCATATTTCTTCATGACCAGATTTGAGGATATTGCACCAGAGATTGGCATAAATTGCACGTGGCTTGAGAGTTCCATACAAACGTTCGGGGACTGGGGTCATTTGTCTTTGCCACAGCTTGTCTTAGCAGTTATATATCGGACTCTGCAAAGTTTCGAAATGAAATGTGGGTGCTATTGCGTTTCGTACCCAGGAAATTGTCAAACGTGCCATTTTTCACAATCTGCACGTGTTGTGAGCGGTATACCCTAGTGTCGCAGCCACCTGGATATGAGTTCAAATGCTGCCCAGCCGTCTGTGACCCCTGTGTGGGACTGGTGGCATTTCATTATTGCAATCTGTTGACTTTCACACAGGCTACCACGCTAGTTCCGGTCAAGATACCGGAGATACGGTGCGGTACCGGAATGTGTAACTTCCTATCACTTACAGCGTCTCTGTCGGGCGCCCCAGACAGATACGTGGTGACTGGTGGAGTCGGCTCATCTTCTTGTTGTATATGTGTCAATGTTTCCGTGTATGTAATTGTGCTAGCGGTTGCATGCGTGCCGATGTGCGTAAGGGGTCATATTATGCATTAGTTATCCTAGTGTCCTCATGTCATTCACGATATTGTTCAACGTTGAGCCGTGTAGTCGAACTGACGCTGATTTTAGTTGTTGTACACACGCAATCCTACAATAGCTTCAACCCAAAAATGGCATATCTGATCACTGTTAGGACAGTTAGGCGTTCTGTGTGCTGATATACCGTTAACGACAGTGCGTTTCGCCTTTTCCAGCCGCGGTTCGCTGGCGGTCTGGGCTCGCTGCAGTTCCCCGGCGGTGGCTCACCACTGGTCTCCCAGATGAGCATCTACAGTGGCAGCAGTCGGACCGCCACAGAGGTGAGACATGCCCCCATACTATCCAACCCTGAACACACACACAATGTGTGATTGCCCCGCGGGAGTGCGTGATGTGTATTGAGTTGTGCTCGGGTGTCTGGGTCGGGTGTAGCTTTTTATGTGCACGAAAAATGGCAAGGTAATGAGCGTTTGAAAATGAAGTTATGGATTGGTTTGGTTTTATGTACGTGACAGTTTCTAGTGAATACCAGGGGCGCGTTTATAAGTGTGTAGGGTTAGTTGGAACTACCAGATGCTACCACCTCGATATATTGAATATGGATGCCGCTGGTCCAACATTTGCTGAAGGTTGTGGCAGATTGCCGCGTTATCTAATGCTTAATGGCTAAATGATTCTTATTGTGATGTGTTCCCGCAACCATACGTTATGTTGATGCTCTCTTATCTCGGCCACTCCATCAAACCCCCATTTACTCCACCGCTAACGGCCCCGGGATATTTTCTCGCCCGGCAACGCGGCTACATTACATGCCGCCGCACATATGGTGGCGCAATTATGCCTGCCCCATCTGCGGAAATGTCCAACTTGTGAGCAAAATCGCGGGAAACCTTCCAAGAAACGATTAAAGGATATTTAGCTTTAGGATGCAGTTACGAGCTTATTAATAAATGTCGCTTGGCCTACGTCGTTTTAATTTGTTTCCGGGAACCCGGCCCCGGCGTTCTGCGACTCGTCGTCTCGAGGCTCGCTCTCGGGCGCTTTGAAGCGATCTGAGTAAGGCCTATCTGAGAGCGCTCCGGACGAGACGACAGAACCTGTTACTAATCAGTTCTGGGAATGAAAACAGAACGGCGCACCGGCAGTCCTCGCTAATTGATGTTAAATTTCGCTGGAAAGTGGCACTCTAATAGAGGATCGCTGATGTATTGTTGTAGAAAGTATAATCATGTGGAAGATCGGTACTGGTCGGAGCGTAAATTGATTCTGGAAACTGTTTATAACGGCAATGCGTCATCGACTCGAGCTTTTCGTCTGTCTTTTCAGAATTTCTGCGATGGCTCTAAATTCGTTTCCTATGTCTACTTGAATTGATAGTTTTTGTACACGTTTCTCGCAAAACAGAATTGAAAGAACGAAGTAACCTTTTATCGTATGTCAAACTCTTGTCGCTTTAAACCGAAGATAAATTATGAAGATATATGGCAGCGCTTGCTAATTCTTATTGTGGAGCACATCTCCCTATCTTCTAACTGTGGAGTACATCGCTCATTTTGTGTCGGAATGAAAGCGGAAATGAACTTGGTTAGGCTGTAGGGTACTTTAAAAGCCGAAAATCAGTATTTGTGGTTATAGATATGGAATTGTGGGTTTGGATTTAATTGGCTGAGAAATAAGACTTGGACACCTAATAAATTACGTTGCCTTGATATTGCCTGAGCCTGTCCTGGGCTTACGTACGAGGTCCAACATAACTATTTGGGACAAGGTAGCCTACATAGCGTATGTGGGTGTTCACCATGCAGCACTTTTGACTTGTCAGCTAAGATCGCTTGTCGTTTACCCTTGATGTTCTTGTGATTGCGATCGGTGTGCTCTACAGGCTCCGCCGATGCCCGTCTCGTGTTTCGGAGGCCAGGTGTACACCGAAAAGTGTGACGTCATCAGAGAGGATGACGTCACCAAGGGTGTGCGGCTCCATCTTCTCGCGGCAAGTGAGTGATATTACATATATTTCGACGGATGCCGACGTGCAAGCACACTGCTCGTATACATTCTGGGCGCCGATTATGTAATATGTTTGAAATTATGGTTAATTGCATGAGTTATGGTATGACTTTTCCGGAAGCTGATTAAGCACTGAATGGTTTTATCGATACTGTATTTGCCACACGTGTATTCCTTCCGTTTATTCACATTTGTCCACCGTTGAAACGAGCACTGTCAGGTCACAAAATTCGCCAGCATATGCTATTTATACTTATAAGGGTTTTGTGCTACTGCTTTACTGGGTATCGCCGTCTTAAATGCGCATCGAGGTAACTCACGTACAGTCCTTGCAGTTCGCTCTATCCGCAGGTGACACGCACTGGGCGTACTGTGGCCTGTGCTGCTCTCTAAATGTGGTGTTGATATGCATCAGTCCGTCCGGCTGACCCGCCGTCCGTTCTCAGGCGACACGCACCTGGGCGCGGACAGCGAGCCGACGCGGCTGGTCCGAGAGGTGCAGTTCGGAGACTCGTGTCAGGACGTGGCCACGCTGCTTGGTGCCCCCACCAAGGTCTTCTACAAGTCTGAGGACAAGATGAAGATTCACAGTCCGTTCGCGCACAAACGGGCCGCCTCCAGACGCTCCGATTTCTTCTTCAACTACTTCACTCTGGGCATTGTGAGTTGGGGCCGGTGGGAGGGTCAGAGAAACACCTGGGGTTGCAATATTGGTATCGGCAATGGTTAATGTTTTGAGGCGATGCTTATGTAATGCAAGCTTTGCAGGCGCCAAAAATGCATATGCTTTTTACATAAAAGTTGGCGGTTTTCAAGGTTAGACATTCGTTTGAAGAGGCTGGTAGATATAATAATCTTAAAACAGCAACGTATCTCATAAATATCTGCCGTAGTCAATTGACTTTGATCGCCATTTTAGCAATATTTTATTTCTTGAATAACACGAAGCAGTTATTTTAATATGGGCACAAAATAAGGGTTGTCTTGTGCTTTTTGTGTGTACATCATTTTGATATTTTTTCTTCATTTTAATGCGCCTCAAAGCATGAGACTGCGTTTTTTATTCCACGCCGCTTAAACACATTAGACGTGTGTTGTGTTGAACGAACAGCATGTTGCGTCGAATCAGAGATGTTCAGAAATATGATGTTTAGCCGACGAGCTATTTTCCGCTCCGCTGATCCGTAATCAAACCAACCTGAGCCCGATGCTCTTTCCAGGATATTTTGTTTGACGCCAGAACGCATAGAGCAAAGAAGATTCTGCTGCACACCAATTTCCCGGGGCATTACAACTTCAACATGTGAGTGTTGTGACGATTGAATTCTCGGAATCACATAACAGTGTGGCGCGCAGGCTTTAGTAACTGTTTTCGTATTTATCACCCTTGCAGAATATGTGGTGAGAGGAGATGTTTTAGAAATGGAATATAATTAATAATCTGTTAATTATAGCGAAATATCCGCTAGCAAACAGCTCACTGGCAATAGTGTTATTGTAATTAAAAGCGTAATTAATGAAATTGTAGTATCGTTGGAGTCCAATGTATGAAGAACGTAATCAGGGTGATCTTTGATCATGTGATGAGAAGCAGACATGTGCTTGGATCCGGAAAAATGGATCTGAGATCCGATCCCATGGATCCCGATCCGAGATCCATTCAGATCATAGATCCAACCCCTCAATTTTGTCGAGAGATCTACTGGGATCATAGATCTGACCCTTCAATTTTGTCGCTAGATCCACTCGGATCATAGATCTGGCTCCCCAATTTTGTCGTGAGATCCGTTGGGATCATAGCTCATACATAGGTGCTCAAAATGTTAACAACTTTCTTTCATAAGAAGTTATGAATACCAAAGTATGGTTAGAAACAAACAATCTTATACAAAGACCATATTAGTAAAGGCATCCAGTTACATTATACAGAATACAAAATAAAGGAGGCTCATGACGGTCACAACTTGAGAGAATTGAGTGACATGAAGATTGTTCACAGTTCACATACCAACAGAAAAGTTTGCATTAACAATTAACATAGAGGTAAGTCAAAGTAATGACTAATGAACAATACATAACTAGGTACCTACCACATCACAATTCATGTTAGAATCTACATAATGATATTGATAAGACAATCTCATTGATCTTGCATTAGACAACCATGAGGCTTTCCAGTTTCCAGCTACCACAATTGATTGATAAACAATAAAAGATGATACTGACACATGTGGCTTGGTTAGGTAAAGGTATTTCAATCTATTGAAAGAAATATTTGATAAAATAAACTGAGATATAAACAAAAGTATAAAAATATTCAACAGCCTGCGGAAGCGATGGGAAGCGAAATATCAATTGTAATGGCTTGGATATTTACCGTAAAATGATTATTCAGTATCTAAATTGAACTCGTGACGTCATTTCAAATAACAAATGAGCTAGGCGTTCTACCTTCGAGTATAATGAAAATAAATAAAAAATCAAACTGGAAATTCAAAAGTCTGGAGCTTTTTTTAAAGAATGTTCATTTTTTCTGCCTCACATGATTTTACGATACGATTGTTTGTGAATATCATCTTTGTAGCGTTGAATTTAATGACGTAAACGTAAGCTGAAACGGTATTATATGGCCCTGAGCGGTGTGCGCCTTGCATCTTAATTTTATTCACTTTTCAAAAGAATAACAATATCTTACGTCATTAGTTTAGAGGGCCTATTACGGGGAATCTTTTGGAATCATTACGGTCTTGGTCAAATTAAGATTTTTCATTGGTCAAACGATTATGACGTAATAAAACCATATTACCAAAACGTGAGCTGTGAATTTCGTTTGTCTTTTTTTGGGAGGCTCTCTCATAACAAAAGCACAGCATGGCACCACACGTGGCAGCTGGCAGGATGCCAAAAGTGGCCAAAAGTAGGTAATCTGAAGAAGTTGATGCCATTTTTGAACTTGTAATTTTATTAGGAAAGTATTAGAGGTTGGTTGCTATTCTTACTAAATCGAAATTGTGTTGCACATACTAATAGCTCATATGAACATTCTGGATTGGGATTTCATACCTGGCAGAAGTGGATTGCTGGATTATTTTTAACAAAACTGACCTATTTGGCTTCCAGGTTTGATTTCCTAACATCTGTCCATAGGCGGCAGAACAGGGGGGGGGGGGGGTGTGGCACCAGGGTACAGTGCCCCCCATAGAGTTTGGCATTTTAGCATTAGCCCTACTGGAGTTGCAGAAAGAATGGGACCAAAATGAAAATCTGCAGTGCCCTGCTGCCACTGCATCTGCCTGTACTGTTTGTTCTTTGAATTAAAGTGGCTGTAGCTTGTTGATAAGATTGTCATCAGTGCTGTCATGAAAAAGTTACAATTGGTCACAAAAAGTAGCAATATGCATGTTCTTGGTTTATTTTAAATGTAGTACAAATGTTGTTTATTTAAATTCAAATTTAATGATGATACCTAATGATCACAAGTGGTCTTAACCAATAACCATGTCCACAAGTGATAATTCTCAATTGTATTGCACTGTAAGGTGTACAATTATGTAGGATAAGGGTTTCATTGGCTACATGTTGTCGTGAGATCCATACAGATCATAGGTCCTCCACAAATTTTAGCCCGCTGGATCCACAGAGATCATAGATCCGACCCCTAAATTTTGTCGAGAGATCCATTCAGATCATAGATCCAACCCCTGAATTTTGTCGAGAGATCCACTCGGATCATAGATCCAACCCCTCTATTTTGTCGAGAGATCCACTGAGATCATAGATCCAGCTCTCGGATCCAAGCACATGTCTGATGAGAAGCTTGGTTTCCTATACAAGTTACTATCCGATACACGATGCGATAGATAAGGATAGCGTACTGATGCTAGCGCCCGCGGATATTATACACCCATCTGCCGGTCGAGTTCCGGCCTGCTAGCTCAATTATAGTTAGAGTATGTCTGGTCTCCTGCTAGATCGACCATCGCGTTAGTTCGACTATGACCCGTCCGATCCAGTCACCTCCTCTGGTTTGGTCCAGTTTGGTTTGGTCTGCTGCCGGTCCGATCCGTCCCTCGCTGGTCCAGTCCGGTCCATCACCGGTGTGATTCGTTACCAGTCCAATATCCCGCGCCGCTCCGGTCTCCTGTTGTCGGCCGCCGGTCCCCCCGTCATTGTTCGTTCATTGGTCGTCAATACCGCTGTCCTGCGACCGTCTCTGCCAGGCGCCCGATCACTGGAGGCATGCCCCTTGGCCGTAACCATTACTGAACCCATCCGAAACGTTTCCTGGAATGGGGACTGTCCCACACGCGAGCAGGCGGGGACCGGCCGAAGTGTGCGTACAGAAGGCAAAAAAGTGGGGAGAGGGGAATTACGCTGAAGTGGAGAGCAAAAGCGAAGAGGGACGCATGAAAGGTACTCTGGTAACTGCTTGACGCACACCAAGCAATCACATTAGTGTGTTATATGTACGTACACTTACCTGTAAGGGTTTATACATTCTTCACATCTGAACATTATCCGTTCGCTCACGTGCTGTGCACGTGACCCAGCCATGAATCGGTAGATTTGATATGAAGGCGTATTGGTAATGTGATCCAGTTGCTAAATGGCTTCCCAATGGTGCAGAGTGCAGACATGACGGGGCTCTTATTCACTGTTAGTGTCCGGACGCTGGGGAATTAAGTACTCGGAGCTAGTTTGCGACTGGTTCTGAGTCGCATCTCACGGGAATAGGACGTTGATCGCTTCTTGGACTCACTTGACGGGACTTTGGTGCTCCTTGGGGGGGGGGGGGGGGGGGTCATAGTGTGGGATGAAAGGCGAGATGTAGAAGGATATTGTATAGGAAGACCGATGGCACGTTGTATGCTGTGCGAGCCGAGATATTAGCAGTTCCTGTCAGCTGATATATTTATTGTGTATATTTTCCTTTATATTTTGCCTCTGTATCGCATCGTTTAATTTTTACATAGGGTTTCTCCAGAGTTTATTGTGTAGAGGTTTTCTCGAAATAAGATGAATGTAAACAACTTAATGATTTTTTTTTTATTACTTACCGTGCTCCGAACATTTTTATATGAGAATACGTTCCTATCAAAGCCAGCTAGTTAGTTTTCCTCTTTAGTTCCGGCACATTTTCTTATTCCTAGCAACATGACGGGCGTTTTAGTCCTTAATTTGCTGAGCTGTAATACCGCAGGGTCACACCGTCCCGGCTTTCCTTTATTCAGACCGGTATATCGGACTGCGGCTGTCCTCGCTTTAATAGCCATTAATACCAGGCATTCGTGCACTGACATACATACGCACGACATATGCGTTGTCGTATGTCGTGCACAGTTATGTATTGATGTGTGTATAGTAATGTGTATGCACAGTATACACTACAGTAATAGTAATAGTAATCATGTCCCGTGATGTGAAGGGTAGGACTACGTGATCATGTGCCGATCGTCTTGCTGCTGTCTTGTGATGCAGTATCGGTAGGTATTCCGTTTCCCAGTCATCCCCTTACCGCCCTGACGCCACGCTCTGTCGACAGGTACCACCGATGCAACTTTGATCTCTCTGTCGACCCGCACTCGTCCATCATCAACACGACCACGGACGGCGTGCACGTGAGTGGCACTGGGACGCCGTGGGACAGTCCACCGCCCGCAGATACTCCGCCGTGAATGCATTGTGCAAATGCCGCAGTGCCGCCGCAAATGAATGTGACTGTCCGGATAGGGCCACCGGGAGGGCGTACATCTGTTGTTGTTGTTGTTGTTCTTCCCCCTGGGACCTCCTTACGGAGGACCATAGCCGAGAGGCTCCCTATGGCGAAGGTAGCCGGCCTCCAAGGCAGCCACCAGGTCGGCGTCCCACAGCCGCGACGGGTCGACGTGAATGCTGCCAGTTAGCCGCAGGCGGGCGCCAGCGAGGGCCGGGCAGCGGAGCAACACGTGCTCCGGCACGTCCGCCTCTTCCCGGCACAGGGCGTACATCTCGAGCTATGGGCCAGCCGTCCTTCCTACCGCGCTGAAACGGCAAGGGGCTTACTCTTCGGAACGGGGGGCTCCAGAGGTGGTTACTATATGGCAGTCACTCGTGCCCCTGTTGCCACCAGCCGGGAGTAGAAAGGTCAGATAGGCTTTCAATTTTTCATAGTGAACCTTCCAGTTTGAAATAATGGCTGAACCTTTTTGCATCCACGGTGAAAATCTCAAACTAAGCAATGATAAGCTATGTCTAGGTTCCTTAGTAGTGTGCTCGGATTAATGTAATTGAATCAATAGCTGTCTGGGCGCGATACTTTTTGCTTCTCTTGGTCTCCATGCGCAAGTTTAGCGAGGGCCCCAGGCAGTCGGTGTATTAACTTGGAAACTATGTTCATCATCGTACGTTATTAAGCCGTCTTCCCTGAGATGTGGTAAAAGTTCGTAATTGAAGTGTTTTTGCTTTTTTTGTAGGAGACACTTTTCGAAACAATGCGACTTAGAATGCAATAAGGGACAGTGAATGGATGCAGCCTCATTCATCGTCAAATTATTATACGAGAGTTGTAGGCGTAACTAGCAATCGGAAACAGTAAAGCCGTTTTGTTCTCATTTAACTAGTGAGCCAAAGTAGTTGTTTGTCGTGTGTGACGTGTGACACGAGTGAAATACAGATCGAAGCTTTTCGAAAGCTCGTTGTGAACGCCTTAAACAGTAAACATGATGTAAATGCGGCGAGATCCCATTTGTATGAGTATATCTCGTTGGCCGCAATCCCCATTCAGCTCTTGTGAACCTCCTGATCCGTCCGGATCCACTCAGCCGGAGTCGGTAGCAATAGGAATTGTGGCTCTTACGGCGTCAGACGCTAGTGTCTGTATTCATGTACCGGGAATTGCTGAATAGGTACGCTGTATGCGGCAGTTCGCATCGCTCATTGAAAGACCTGTAACGCCTCGGCGGTCCTTTCATCACAGTTAGTCCCTCCATACGGAGCTACTATAGGTGGCTATAGTCCTGTGTGTAGAGTCCCGTGTGTAGACGCCGGCACTTCTGGAGAAACTAGTGTGGTTTCCCTCCAGGAATAGAGATATCTTACGCGCTGGACAATACTGGATAGAGTACTGGTTCAGTCACGCGTAGTGATCGGCAATGACCAGTACTATTCTAGTGCCCTGAATTGAAACATTTAACAATTAGCGGTGTCTTCATTTTCGGTTTCTTGAGAATGCAAGCAAGCGGAACATCAAATTTATTGCCGGATTCGCTGTTAGAAAGCGATCCTTTCTTTACCTAGGGAATAGTGTTCTGAAAGCGTTCCGTTGCGTCGTGTTGGCGTTTCATTCCCTGGCTCTGGTGGCACGTCGTCTCAAATGGCCACCGGCGAGTGATTTATGGTCCCTCGGATACGTCTGGCTCTCATGTGGCCACCGCGCCGACGCGTAATTTAACCCTCGCCCGTATTGGTGTTTTTCCAGCCGCGAACGTATAAGGGGGGGGGGGGGTCCGTTGGACCCCCCCCTTGCCGTTTCGCCCCTGATCGAGCTAGAGCTTCGCGGAAAAAACGAGCGTGTTGCCCGTGACGAGAGGAAGCCGATGATACCCAATTTTAAGGTCCTAGGTCATTGGTTGACCTTGCAGGTCAGGTCAATGACCCAAAAGTCGGGAAAATCCGGACCTGTTAGAACGTCGTAAAGTGTGGCTGCTATGGGGTTTTTCGGGGTGCTGATCACGAATATCATGTTAGTTTTGATCACAGATGATGTCTTCATGCATTTAGGTCAGGTCGGGTCAGGTCAGGTCAGGTCAACCAGTAAGGGTATTCGTAGTAGGTGGCAACCGCCTCTGACAGCTTCGTAACATGTTACGAAGGCACCAAAACTACTTCGTAAATGTTCATATGGTTGCTAAATTCGAATTCAGCTCCAAAAACTGGCCTAGAAACATGTAAAACTCGAAAAAAGTGAACCGAGGTCATCAAAGGTCAATGACCTGACCTGACCTTCAGGTGACCTTGACATCCACCCTAATGCATGGGGGCAACATCATATCACATGTTTGAACGCTTGAAACCACGAAAAGACTGCAAACGCGCGGCTAATGCGAGCCGACATACGCCGAATCGCGATTCCGGCCAAACATGGTCTCGAAAAGTAGGTCACAAGTCAAAGGTCATTTGGGTCAGGGTCATGAAATTTTCAGGGTAGGTGTAAAATTGATGAACGCGAGGGTACTGAAAGTTTCGTCGCGATCGGCCGCTTTTTACGCGAGTTATTCGCGAAAAACCATGGGGGGGTCCGTTCGACCCCCCCCCCCCCCCCTACACGGGCGAGGGTTAACCGCTCACGAGTCCCTTCTGGCCGCTGATGTATCTTTCAAAAGCGACCGCTAACACGTGCCCGCTGCTTCTCCCCCCCCCCCCCCCCTGAGAAGTCCCTTCTGTCCGCTGGCACGGCCCCTTCTAACCACTGATGCGTGGCTTTTAGCGTGACCTCTGACATTGTGTCTATCTGCTGTCAAGTGTTCCCCGGTCCTGGCATTCTTTTTCTGACTACTAACATGTTCCCTCTTTTTGATTATTCCAATTGCGTCCCTCTGACCGGTTCCACCCTCTGGTCACCCACCCTTCTCCTCTGGGCATGTCCATTGTCCCCTTCTGACCGTGGGTCCTTGACGTTCACCCTCTAACTCGTCTCTCTCCCGACGGCAGATCCGCGCCGACACAAGTGGGAGTTGGTGTGCGGCCTCTCATGTGCCTTCTGACCCGTCCCTTTACCCTCTAACTCGTCTCTCTACCGGCGACAGATCCGCGCCGACACCAAGTGGGAGTCGGTGTGCGGCACGCTGAAGCCCTCCAGCCGGCCGGTGGTGCTGAACCGCGCCTCCACCACCAACACGAGCAACCCGTTCGGCTCGACGCTCTGCTACGGCGTGGAGGACTTCATCTGTGAGGTGAGAACACGGAGAATTGGAAGAGAGAGGGGAGGGTTGGAGGGGGTAGACTAGCGGCCTAGTGTGCCGTGTGCACTGTGCACGACACATTACGCACTAAATGCTACTCTACTCACTGCACAGTAGGCATACTAAACGAGAGGTGCGTCAATATGCCAGGATAAGATGCTCTTGAGGCGTGCATGATGACAATCATCTACCACTGTCAGTGAGAAATCGTCGGTCGCCGGGGCCACAGTTGTGACGTCAGGAAGGCAGTGAAGGGTGGCGGCTGAAGCCAAAATGAGCTGCAACTTGGCATGGGCGCTCAATACGCTCGGGAAGACGATGAGTTTCATGTTTGAAATTCGCACCCGCTTGGATCTCATAGAGGTATATTTGAGCCGGACTTGGGACATGTAGATTAATAGTTGTGTTGATACAGGTAAGTCTAAAATTGATACCCACATGGAAGATAACGTGCAAACCTGTCGAATCACGTGCTATCACGTGTTGCGATGCCTTAATTTACCCATATTCATTCAGTACCTTGAAAGTTTGATTACTTATTCTAGGGAGTTAAATGTAGTCAGCCTGTCGACACCAGTTGTCGACATTCGCCGATGACCACTGTAGTCCGGGTGCCCAAAAACCCCCTGTCGACACCAAGGTCAATATGTCGAATTAGAGACATAATGAAACGTTAGACAGCTCATTCGCAGTAGCAGTATTGACTATGTCTTTCACAGGCGACCTTATTCATTGCTAATTAATGCAAATTCAATAACATCCGGATAGAAAAGCGAGCTTCCATTGTTCGCAATACAAGCCAACAATTCCCTGAAGCAATCATGGCTTTTAAAACGACTAAAGCGCATTTGCTTCGGTCTCTCAGCCCGCTGAGAGTTGTTCATTAAGTTAATTGTGAGCACGATCTTATGCCAAATGAATCTAAGAGTAGGAAACTTACTTCATTTCCGGCCATTCATTAAGAACGGCAGTCGGTTCCAGTTGCTGGCAAGTGGCCCGCTCTCGTCCTATCCCGGATGCGCCAATAGCTTGCCGTGGAATCATTTTGCATTGTACACCTTGGCTCCTTGAAATGCTTGATGGGACGCGTGACATGCGAACTGCCTTAGTGAGCACTGAGCAACAGCTGGTCAGTCTCCCATCATTAAACGGTCTTCGGATGTCCTAACGAACGGTTAGAATTGGCTCCCTCTTTGGCATACCCAGTGCGAGACTGACGTTCCTACTTTATGATTGGAGTCGCAGAGCTCCTAATTTGTTGCAATGGCTGAGAGGTGTGCGTTTTGGAGCTACAAATGAAAATTGATGACAATTGTTATGTATGCGACAAGAAATCCCATTGGAACGTGTAAACGTAGACGGGCTGCCGGGATATGAGGCCACTTTTGTCATAGTACCAGTCGAGACTTCCTTATCTTTCGCGTCGTGGGACACGTAGGACGTCGTCGTCGTAGGATGTCGTCGTCGTCTCAGTTCGTGACTCTCGCTAGCCGTCGTATTTTATTCGAGACATACATTATACATTCTTCACCGACGCTATTCCGCCGCCCAATAAGCCCAGCTCTCCGATCCTCATCCCACTGGTGCCGGTAAACCCTCACGATCAGCGCCGCTTCAGCGTCAGAATGTGTCGGTAGATCAGACAGCACTGCTACGACCAGCGCAGTGGGAGCTCAATACCGGACGGACAGGCGGACGGGCGGCGGGAGCTAGAGCGGCGCTGACCCCCCCCCCCCCCCCCCCCCGGGGAGGAGGGTGACCGTGAGAGATCAGGAGTTGTTTGTTTCCCGACACTGACGGGCCCTGGACACGGTGCCTGGTATATGCTCTCGGATAGCAATGCTCGTTGTTTAGGTGCCCCCGACTGGGGCGTAGCCGCTAACATGTCAGGCTAACTTATGTTGCATCCGGGCGAACATTGATTCGGGAGGCGAGTTCAAGGTCCGGGTACGTTTAGGAGGGGGTGGCTAGTAACTGTACTTAGATTGGTAAGGGAGGTCGAGCGGAAAGGACTAGCGGTTAGACCTTTACTTCGTCTTACTTCGTAACAGTATTAGCTTCATATATTGAGTTATTGAATGGCCAACTAATAAGAACCTGACGTTTTATGAAGAGTTTGAAATCAACTATCATAAACTTTATGAAGTAAATAACGTTTAATGAAAGTTTGATATTAGCTACGATAGTTCTACCTTGATGACCAAATACTCTCATTGAGATAGAGAATTGACGTAAGAAAGTGATATTAAATGCTGCATTCAGGTTATTGTGTTTTTGTCCACATTTTCTGTGGGATCAAGGGCCGTCGTCGGAAATTAATTGGCTGGCTACCGAAATGAAAGACCAAGTCAACATTCTACGAGCACGTCAGGGCGTGTCGTGGCCATTTCGGCTGGATATCGCAATGCCGAATTCTAGATAAAACCTTGGTGTTATTTTATTTCAGAGTCAGTCATGTGGCTGATGGGTATTGGGTATTTAATTATTTCGTTGGTTATTATCTTGCTGAAGCTTGTATTTCGCTTACAAAAAAAAAGTTCGCTCGACCAGTTGGTATCATCACGCCTTTTCCAACATCGTGTTATGCGTGCGTGTAACTTCTTCCTGTCCGGCTGATGTTCGCCTGAACGGCGTCTAACCACGACACCATCACATTCCGCGACACGATGACACCGCGTCTGACCAAGTGACATCATGACACCTTGTCTTACCATGGCTTTACGTTGCAATTGCATTGTGACAGGGCGTCTGATCGTAACTCGCCGCATCTCGACAGAATGTTTATGTTTATCGTAAACAAGCACCAACAGGCAGCATGCCCGATAATAGGTGCCGTCATGCAGTTAAAATGACGCCGTGACTGACTGACCCTGTCTCCGTTCGTCAGGTGATGAACAACGGACACCTGGCATCGGTGACGCTCTACCAGCAGGAGGAGGCGTGACGTGGGCCTCTGGCCGGCTAGCTCAGTACCATCACCGCCACCTTGGCAGCGACAGCTGCGGTAGCAGCGGCATCGGCAGCGGAGGTTCTTCGGTCAGGTGTGTACAAAAAGACACCGCCGCCGGACGGGGAGCGGAGCCGCTCGGTCGCCGCCCGGTCGCCGCTCGGTCGTCTGTCCGCCACGGGAGGGATTCACTGTCAGCCGCACCACCCAGTGGCATCCAGCGCTTTCACACAGATATATGAGGCGTCGAGCGAGCCCCACAGAGGGCTGGGCACCTGTACTGGACGACGTCAGCGAGCAGCAATCAACACGACGAGAGACCTGGGGTCTGGACTGCGCCCGGTAGCCCGGTCACCGGAGCAGACGCTCTACAGTATCAGAGATCACGGCAGCATCGATCGGCTATTGAGCGAGTAGAGAGAGACGCGTGGAAGTCAGAAGGTTCTGGGGAAAATCCGATCGCGTTGGGCCCGCTGGCCCAAGTCAATGTGTTCTGAGAAATGCGAGTTGAGTAAGGAAATGAGTTATTAGTCAGATAAGACGGAGAGAATGCACCCTGGATGGTTCATCTCGATCGTCTGAAAACCAACAGAGGCGTTACAGGCTGCCAGCAGGGCCCCGAGGCCCGCTCTCGACACTAGTTAGTGCTAGCTTTAGGTAGAATATTTTGCGCTTCGTCACGGTCGTCTGTGCGTAGAATATCGCGTAGTTTGCTGTGCGCAATGTGTGTCGATATATGAAGTTTTCCTGAGTTGTTACCAAGATATGCATTACCTCTGGACAGTGGCGGTTGAGAGGCGACGGCCTGTCGCTGGTGCCCCGGCTTACTGGTCGGTGCTGAGCCGATAGTATGTACTTGCGCCGGTGTGCACGGGGATATATGCTGCCATGACGATGTGTGTTTACCGCAGGGTGGGAGCCATCGGTGCTGACCCGTGACCGGCCGGTTGGTGTGGAGGGTCCCAAGACACGCGTTATTAGTGAGTTACTCGCGTTTGGCCATGGGACGGGTCGTGTGCGACTGTGACTGTCTGCGTCTGTCCCGTGCCCGGTCACTCCCTCACCCAGTCATGTTTACGAATCAGTGCCTACACCCGCGGTCTACTAAGTCTGTCGCTCTGTGTGGTTCTCGGTTCCGTTCGCGCCTTACGGACCTGTGCTCGTCTAGAACCCACGGAAGCCGGCCATGAAATGACCTACATATATGTGCGGGATCGGTTCGTATCATCGGTCTAACATGGATCGCTCGCGGGTCCGGTGCCAGTTTTGGTTCTCTCACCGCAATAGTCGCCCATGTCACGGTGCTTGTGCGGCCTTTTATATAACAGAGCCGGCGGACGCACCGTGCGCTGTCTCACAGGATCTCGTCTGGGCCGTGGGGTTCGCAGGGGGGTGTGAATGCTCCGCCACGTTAATAAACGGACTTATTTTGCTACAGAGTGTTGCACGGCAACCCAGCCAGAGGAGGAAACTTGGCGAGATGGCGGAACCGACGGAAAAGTTTGTCAGCTAGCGAGGTAAACTTATTCATTTTCTGGGCGGCGTTTTTCTGACTATACGGCGCTGGAGTGGTGGGGTGTTGACAAATATGCCACCGCCTGGGATATGAGCCGGACACTTATCTCGCTAATTCAACACACTTGACACGCACAGCAAAAACACGGAGACGGAACACGCCACCAATATTCGATGTTGTCCGGGACACGAGTGCTGTTTTTGTCCCACTGCGCACCAGTTCAACCGGAAAATCGCAGACGGTTATGTAACAGGCAGTATCTTTAGACGGCAGTTTGATCTCATGTATCTAGCATAGTGTAATAAATAGCACGCTGTATCTAGTTTGTTTCATCCATCTTGCGTGCTGATGACTGTCGAGTTTTGCGTTTACATTACAACCAAGTTCGAGCGTCGAAGTGCGATCTAAGGCATCATGTCCCGAGCTCTAACATGGCAACTATGTATAATGTATATTGGTTATGCGTTTGAGATGATGATACGGTAACAGGTGTACAGCATCAAAATAAGATCCGTTCGGTACATCGTCTCGCCACGACCATAGCTCGGGTGCGCACCGCGTGATAAGTCTCATGTCAATAACGTTAACGTTCGTGTCAAAACTTGCGAATTATTAACAAGTGACAACACACATCTCGCTGTGTCAACAAACATTCACTCATAAGTTACGTTCTTAGTTATAATTGATGTTCCTCGTGTTTGGCCTGGCTCTAACTAGCCATTCCACGTGGCATGCTCCCAACCCGTCAAAACAACATTCAAACAGGGTCACACATCAACTTTAAGCACGAACGTTTTAGATATGTTAGCAATGCTGGTCCCTTCAGCAAGCGCAGGTTGGCACCGGGGTCAACTCAAAGCCCCTTCCATCAGACATCACAGTCAAACACTCGCTGTGGACTGCGTGGACCACGCCCATCGTGTCACACCCACCACGCTGGCCACGCCCACTTCGTGACGCCACGCCCACCACATGAAGCCACGCCCACCATGTTGACCACGCCCATCAGAGCATGTGGGACGTACTTGCACCTTCTCTTCTCATCTGTCATCTATACTCCGCAGTGCCTCGTTGAGAAAAGTCCTTATTTCCTTCCCTCTTTTGTGATTTTCCGTGATCTATGCAGATTGCAGATGGCCGGTGATAAGGACTTGGTGCTGGTGGCTGACTTTGTTCTTTTTGTCCAGGCTATGGTGACTTCTAGGACTGCGATGTTGCTGCCGCACTTATCGCTATTCTGTGAAACAAAACGGCACATTGTAAAACGCCGTCATATATAGGCATACGTATCAGTGACAGGCATCGGATGGGTAAGGCATGTCACGCTTCTGTCACTAAATGAGTATTTCATTTAATGCGTCAATGGGCCACCGAGTTATTTCTTCGCGTTAGTTGTCCCAAAACCGATTGTGTGCTGCCGGTATTTTACTGATGTGGAGATTCTGTCACACTTGTTTTGCGGTGCAGCATCCGCAGTATGAGATATGCTGCACCGCAACACATGGCTCAACCGAAACGCCGCGTCTTCGCAATTCGTATAACGTCTGCAATCCCCCCCCCCCCCCCACACACACACACACATCCTTACAGGCATTACACACAAGGCAACCCACGGTTCTCGCGCCCTCTGTTGACTCACCCTTGACTCCGTGACTCTGCGTCCTCCCTGGTGACTCAGTACCTCTCCCGGTACGGCTCGGATGGGGCCTTCTCAGAGGGCTGGTAGCCCCACTGTTTCTGCCAGTGGTGAGTCCAGTAGAGCTCCCCGTTCTCCTGGGCTCGGTGGGCGTCCTTGCACACCCAGACGCAGTAGACCAGGCAGAAGATGAGCGCGCAGAATCCGCCGATCAGCAGCGCTAGACCGATGAACCTGTGTGGTAGGTGAAGGACAGTCAGCAGGATATCAGACAGCGACAAAAATGTTTAATCAGCTAAGTCGGTGGTCAGTTGGACGTCCAAATTATAATATTTGCCGTTCCTTCGCTATCTCAGCTCTCAGAAGTACGATACTCTCATGAATGAGTTCATACTGCAGGCACATAAATACTTTGAGACAGGTCAGACAGATTATTATAAAAAGTAGGTAACCGACACCCAATGCTATGCCAACAATGGCACACTACGTTTTAACTCTGTGACGCACTTCCGTCGTGACTGAAACAAAACATATGACCTCTTTGATGCAGCCATAGTGTGGTCACTTTCCCTGACGTAAATCCTACCGTAATCCATCACTTAGTTAAACTCTGCCGTAGCAAAGCACAGGCGATGGGCAACAATACACTCAGCATGGTTGAACATAGGCCATAGGGACATTCGCCCTGTATTATTGGTGTCAGTTAAGATGAGAGCACTTTTAGAGAAGACTGAAGAGTATTAAACCCTGTATGCGTCATACGGTGTCCCATCTCTTCTGCTTCGATATTGGTTTCGCACTTACCACACAAATGGCGGATTGTAGAGCTGAAGAATAATTACGAAGCCAAGTGCAATCAGCAATATTGCCAGATTTAGTAGAAGCATCAGACAGCACACTCCTGCGAAAAGAAACGGATCACTGCGTTCAGAGATCAATGGCGAAGTAGGTATGTGGCAAATCGGATGCTCTTGTCGCTCAGCTTTATTCATGCACGATATCTACATATGCCATTTCAGAAACATTGACAATTACATGCCTGCAATATGCCTAATTGCCTACCTACCTTACAATAAAAACAGACAGACGTTGCTTAAGTAGGGGAGACCCGGGAGGTATGGGCCGGTTTTGTGAAAAGGCAATTTTCTTCCAGTGGGAAGTGGCTAGACCCGGTTTTTCACTATGCATACGTGAAATTGCCTTTCGCATGCAAAGTGTGCCTGATATTAGGCATCTGGGATAAACTATTTTGTCTCGAGATAGCTTTCAATAAATCATGCGCTTTTTCGATCCATCAAAATACACCGGGAGGTATGGGCCATGGCCCGGGAGGTATGGGCCGGTGCCATGTTTCATATCCTTTTCTCGACAATGAAAACAATACTCGCAGCTGGTATCTACCTTGATCTCTCTTAGAGCCCAGGAACCGCATAAGCGGCCAACAGCTTACTTCATGGAGGTCACGTGGGCAGTGGGCACATATGTCTTTTGGTAAACTCAGTCATGCTCCATGAAATAAGATAAATAATATTTTTTTTCTGTTCGAATGAAATTTGTAGTTAAATTTTCGACCTTGCGCGACAAAAATAAAAGTTATTGAAGAGGACATTCAATGAAAGCATCATTGTATTGATTTAGGATCAATGGGGGTGGGTGGCCCAAACCTCCCGGTAAGGACGCCAGAATGTGCGTAGCATCTCAGCTCATAAACTTGCAAGAAAGCTTTAAATTGTCTATCCAGTCTTAATTTGCATGCTTTTAGCTTTATATTACCGATGGTGTGACATCATAAAACGAGCCTGGTTCAAATTTATCACGAATTTTCTGTATGTACCGTATTTTACTCGAAGAGGGCAAAAACGCTTTGTCACCGCTCATTGCCAAAGAAGAGTGAGGAAAATTTTGGAAATCACGTGGGTTGTATAACGGAATGGTTGCTACCAGTTAACGCGGTCAAATGTGTAAAAATACGCAACACTTCTTCAAAACTGCGATGGCCCATACCTCCAGGGGGCCCATACCTCCCGGGTCTCCCCTATACTGAGAATACCAAAATTAAGCTTAAAAAGAAGCTTTAAGCGATAGCTTGAAATCGAAAATAATCGGCGAAGAATTAACAATCGATAGTTCTGTAGAAATCTTGTCCACGTTAAGTCCGAAGAGCCTATCAAGCCTCATGTGCTCGGCTCACCTTTGGTGTTTGGACGGCAGGGATACTCACTACTCACCTTTGGTGTTTGGGCAGCAGGGGTGTGGCGCCGCCATCGTCTCCATCATGAGGTTGCCGTGGCGGGACGTCTTGGTCTTGGTGGTGCCGGCCTCGGAGACACCGCTCCGGTGGGTGCGCTGGCTTGGCGCGTAGTGACTGCGACACACGAGTGGATTTGTAAGTGAACGTCTCGAGTCTCGACTTATATACTAACATAACTGGCGGGAATAGCTCGTAATTCTGTAAGCCAACCGTGCAACCTTTGGTTGCAAGTTGCAACTAGCAAAACAATTATAACTATTTTGTGAACGTTTCTGGGCACACACCGCAAAATAACAATGGAAACTGGAGAGCTCAAAAGTGACTCGAACGGAACTATCATAAGCTGGCAATACAACGATTATATTGAGAGCGAGCTTTGGTAAGCGACTTTGACGTCACGCGATAACATCATCCGTCATCTTGCTTTCATCTGGAAAAGTGGCGACCTCGCCCCGCTATGTACAGCTCCTCACATAAAAGACGGCGAATCCGGTATCAAAGATTGTTTGATTTTATTTTTTTTTTCGGTAAATACCTCCCGTCAATCACTCGTAGCTTACCTCATGTCCGGCTGGTGTGCCTCGGCGTATATTTCGCTGGCCTCCCGCTCCTCCGGGTCGTATCGGTCGCGTTCGGTGTCGTACCGGTCGCGGTCGCGGTCGTAGCGGTCGCGGTCGCGGTCGTGCGGGTCGCGCTCGGAGTACCGCTGCCGTCGGTCGGTCTCGTAGCGCTCCTGTTCGTCCGGGTCGTACCGGGGAGTGTCGAGCACAAACTCACTGACGGCCCGGTCCGAGGGCGCCCGCTCCACCTCACTCCGCTCCTGGGGATAGACACGACAGAGAATGATGAATCCTTGAGTTAAGATGCACGCTTGTCTCCGTGTTTTTTACAAGTAACTACTTATGTAGTGGCTATAAAATCACTACAACCGCAGCACATTATGTACATAGAGGAACCATCACCCCTCAATAAATGAATCTGCACACCTGATCATAGGCGTGCTCAAATGGAACAAAAACTTAAGAATAAA